TGTGTATATATAGCCCTAGTTGTTCTTTAGTTCCTTGTGAGTTGTTGAATGTACTGGTTGTCTGTTTGCCAGTCATTCTGTTCTTTGTTCCCTTTGGTTTTTGGCTTATTGTTTGTTCTTCCATTAAATACCTGCACATAGATCCTTGCCTCTGCCTGTTTTCCGCAGCTTCTCCACAACGTTGCAGTTTTTGACTGGCATGTCTCTTTGACTAGTGCATTTTGAGCCTATCTTTAGTATAGGTAAAATACTTAAGTACTGTTAAAATTATATACGCTAAGACTTTTACTCAAGTTGTTTTGGAATTGGTGACTTGTAACGTGTAGTGGAGTAATTTTCACTGTAAGGTATCTGTACTTTTACTCAAGTATGGTTTTTAGGTACTCTTTACACCTCTGCTCTTCTCTTCCTGTCATATGCTTTGGCGTGAGGGTGGGGCTATTGGGGTCTGTCTAATTTCTGCCTCCATTTTGTTAGCAACACCCAGCTTCCAACAATCCAATTAATTCCCAAAGGACAAAAATCAAGCCCCACCCTACATTTTTTCTAATTTCAGAAGCCGTTTCACTCAGATATACGTCACAATAGGGAAAAAAGGACAATCTCAACTTCCATGAAAGTCGACTTTCATGTCAACTTTAAATAACAGATTTATAGTTGATGTTAATGTAAATCTTTGTTAGACAGATAGTCGCTTCAGTGTGTTTGTATACTGATTGATACATCAGTTAAATACTTGCACTCATAAAACAAAGTGCTTAGAAATATTTTATATTTAAAAATCTGTAAATTTGTATGTAAAATGTTTCTGAGTGATTTTTAAAAATAGTAATAATATGAACAACAAAGTAACATATTACATAGCAAAAGTGGCAGGTCTATTATTTTGCATTTACAAGGTAATTACATTATGAAAGTCTGTTTTTTTTTTGTTACAGGATCCTGTGAACCCAGCCTCAACCATTCATCAGAAGGACTGTAAAAGCAGCAACTCTTTGAACCACCAGTGGCAGTTTCCACAGGATGAAAAAAGGGCATAGTAAGTCACAGTGATCATCAAGGTATGATGTATACTGTAAATGCAATAAACATTTTAATCATTCATTTTGTTAAGTCTTGTTACTTCTGGATTTTATTTTCAAAGTTATTTTATGAACAAATAAATGTGAGGATATTGATCTGGAAGAAATGGGCCCGTAAAGAACCTTTTCATCAGTGGTTCTTTGTAGAACCTTTAAAAAGGTTTCTTTGTAGTACCAGAAATGGTTCTTTATGGCACCAAGAAAGAAATGGTTCTTCAGGGAACCAAAAATGGTTCTATGGCATCGCCGTGAAACCCCCTTTTTGATTCTCCCTGGCACCTTTTTTTAAAGAGTGTACATTAGGCAGTAAGTAAACCGTTTGTAAGTGTCATGTGTTGGAAGTAGAATAAAATGGGCAATCGAAAAGATATGAGTGACTTTGCAAGGGACAAATGGTGACAGACAACTGGGTCAGAGCAGGATGCACTATGGGAAGAAGGCAGGGTGGTGAAGGCAGTGTTATGATCTGGGCAATGTTCTACTGGGAAACCTTATGTCCTGGCATTTGTGTATTGTTGCAGAGCACCTACAGCCCTTCATGCAATGGTGTTCCCTGATGGCAGTGGCCTCTTTCAGCAGAATAATGCTCACTGCTACTACACTGCACACATTGATCAGGAATGGTTTGAAGAACATGATGAAGAGTTCAAGATGTTGCCCTGGCCACCAAATTCCCCAGATCTCAATCCGACTGAGCATCTATGGGATGTGCTGAACCAACAGATCCGATCCATGGAGGCCCCACCTCACAATATGTAGACTGCACTTTGTACAGTGTTGGTATTGCACACTGTTTGTCATTTAACAATATGTACATCTTTTGCCAAATTAAAATAATGCACATTAACTTTTAACTTAATACAAATGTTTTTGGCTGAAGTATATATAAGTAGTAATAATAATATTAAGTATTAATATTATAAAATTAATATCAACATCATCATCAACAACAAAGGCCCCACCTCACAATATGTAGACTGCACTTTGTACACAGTGTTGGTATTGCACACTGTTTGTCATTTAACAATATGTACATCTTTTGCCAAATTAAAATAATGCACATTAACTTTTAACTTAATACAAGTGTTTTTGGCTGAAGTATATATAAGTAGTAATAATAATATTAAGTATTAATATTATAAAATTAATATCAACATCATCATCAACAACAACAACAGCAATAGTAGTAGTAGCAGTAATTACATGAATATTTATATCTGGTGTATTAGGTAGGAAGTTTAAGAATGGATATATAGGTATAGAATATAGATTATATATAGATATAGAATATAAAAAAAATTACTGTAAAGGAATACCAATTTTTTATGTTTTAAAAAGATCTTGCATTAATATTTTTGGTTAGTTTATAATGCAATACATTTCCCAAAATGTAAAAATAATTTTTACATTATTAGCTCTAGATTTTATTACGCTTTGAAAACATTGAACATTTTATTACATTAATAACGTAATACTAATTAAATGATGAGTTGCTACACAGACCTACAACACACTCATATATTAAAATGTGAATATTTAAATGTGACTGGAGAGCAAAAACAACACTAGACTTTGGGACACTTTGTTGTATTCTGAAAATATAATAACAACAAAGTTTTTGTGCACATGCTCTGAAAGACAGATGTAATGTGCAATGTATATTTAAACATGCAAATATTTGAATATGTGTTGTGTGATTGTAGCTACAATAGATACACAATGCAAAAATGAAAAAACAACTGACTAAATGAGGGTGAGAGCAGGATTTCAACAACAGATCTACTTACAACAATACTGCTGTTGGCAAAGCCACACGTCAGTGTTTGTGATGACATGCAATCCAGTTCTGATTTATGTTGAGTTCTAATTCATATTGCTTAAAGAATATTTAAGTTAATTACATTAATTTAATTGTAGCACTGAATATAACAAAACAAGCAAGGGTGGCCTTTTTCACTCACCTCAGCTGTGAGATGTAGGGCAGACACTGCAGGAATCCCTTCACTTCACTCTCTTCATCTGTGTACAACAATACTGCTGTTGGCAAAGCCACACGTCAGTGTTTGTGATGACATGCAATCCAGTTCTGATTTATGTTGAGTTCTAATTCTGTACATTATCGTTTCTCCTCTATGCCCCGCCTTTCTGAAACAC